CTAGAGCGATAGAGGTGCGAATTAAAAGAATTTAGGGCAGAGTGCTTGAGAATACCTATCCTGTGAACTTGGATACGTGACCGCTCTAGATTTTGGCGAACGTTACCGACTGTGTTTTAAGAATGTCTGCCTAGAGTGAAAGAAATAGAGAAAGAGAGAATGAAAAGATAAAACAGGGTGAATGAGGCGGTCATTAAGAGTATCAGAGAGCGAGTTATAGAGTTGTAGTCCGACCATAGCCAGAGGCATACTAAATAAGAATCAATTGGATTTTTTCAATTCAGATAAGCAGAACGGCTCAAATCATGGCAACCACCAACGTACTTCTTTTTCATGCCCGTGTTTGACGTGTTCCACAGCAGCCATATTTAATTATTTTTCAACGAAAAAATTTGTAATCATTCTCCAAGGACAAGTAAATACATAGGAATGAAACTCATGTTAATAACTGTTACTGAATTTCTATAATAAATTAGCAAAGAAGACCGAAAATATGGAGTACCCCCTTAAACCCCTTGAACTGAAACGACGAGTCTAGCTCGTCATGAACTTTCTTGAGCAAACTGACAATGACGAGCTGCACTCGCCAGAAGCTATTGAGAGTTGAAGCTTTTTTTATGAGAAGTATATGTAAGTCATAGCGAGTCCTTTGCTTTGATACATTTGTTTGCATGCTTCTAGTAACAGTTTGAATGTAATTTGTATAAATCTACGCAGCCAGTATCGCGTAAAGTAAATGCACGACACGACATACTAACGAAGTGCAATAACGGTTACTTTAATAGTGATATCCGTCTATAGAAGTCATATATCTTTTCGGAGGTGATGAATCTTACACGTTCACTCGAAGTTTATTAGTACTTTTAAATAAACCCGAATATAAACGAGGATTGAAATTGCTGTAAATACATTAGCATTATGTCGAAACATACTTTTTTCGTTCAAATACTAGAACTGTAATATTTTTGTTAAACATTATTGAAGAATTTCATGTACATGCATGAAACAAATATTACTTTTACAAATAACAAATTATTTGAGCAACAAAACCGTAAGTTTCTATATCAATCCCTCCTCTGAAAACTAAGAAAATTAAATTGTCTGCCTGAAAATAAATTGCAGTTCAAGGGGTTAAAGAGTTATAGAGAATAGTTGCAGAAACATTGTTGTTAGTTGTTATTATTGTCGAGTCTTTGGCATTAAATATAATCCTTATTGTTACTAAAATACATTGCAATCCCTGTCTTCAACCCGAGCAATCAACATCGATGTAAATTGACAAGTGGTTCCAAACTAATATCCAGCAGCGCATCTCCGTGTACATACTTGGAGAAAACGCTCTAAACTTCCAGATAATTATTTCTCAATTTTCCCTTTTCTGTCTTTATAACTATATCCCCTCCCTTTTAGTCTTCCAACAGGCTCTCTTTTATCCAATAAAATTTCAATCGACTCGACGAAGCAATCAGCCGACGAAAACTCGAGGGTTTCCCGAGAATGGAGGCAGTAAACGTCAGTAAGCTCGAGGATACTCCGTTACCGCTGAATTATACCAAGAGAAAATCGGTTCGCTGTTATCTCCAGCTCGCAGAGGAGTCAGCAATCTCTCCCTTCGGAAGCCTAGACGCGTCTCGAGATGGCGCGGCTGAGACCGTTTGCCTCGCGTTCTTTGCATAATTAACTTTCTCAAGAGGTCCCCATGAAGGTGTGCACCAGGCTACTCGCGACAGCCGATTCTCGCGTGGCCAGGTGACAAGAGCTGAGGAAACAAAGAGAGCCAGGCTGGACCTGCATAATTAATCCAGGTCTCTCGACGATTCTACTCTTTCTCCTGGTGTAATTAGCGCGCCTCCGACTCTCGTTCTGCCTCCATACGAAATGCTCTGGAAACTTTTATCGAGTTCCCCTTTCGAGGGAGGGAAGAAGCCTCGCGTATTGTCCTTGAACGCGTATTTGCAAGTCCGATTAATCGACGGCAAGTGGCGGGATTCGATCCTCCAGGTGAAATTGATTTGAGTTTGGTGATAGAGAAAAGTGGTGAGAATTAATCTTCTTTTTATTTTATTCGAGAATGGGTGGTAGTATAAGAATGAATGTTTGTGTAGGTAATAGGTGCATCTTCGTTCTTAGTCTAGAGCAAGTTTGAATTCGATTGTTCGAGGGCTGGTTTTTTAATCTGGAGTTTTGACGACACACGTGAAATTTCACTCGGGTATTTTTATTTTTACTGGACAAAGCTTTGAACATTTCACTTAACGAACAATTGTATAATGTAGTAGACACTTTGGCGAGTACTCCAGAATTTTGTCAGATTTTTTGAAAGCTTAAACCCGTAAGAAAATAAGATTTGGATACAAACTACCCAGGTTGCCTACGGAGGGTTAAGTGTCATTAAAATACACATGCACTCACACAAACTGTTATAAAATCGTCGGTATTTAAGCTAAATACTTGAAATTTATTCCAACAATAGAAGAAGAATGCACCTATTATTGATATGTACTTTTACTTTTTTATCACTACCAGTTCTCGGGAGAAAAATTGAAATTTCACGGTACACTTGACACAGTGACTGAATATAATAAGAAGACAATTGTTGCTGGAATTCAAGCAAAGTTATTCCTGACTTTTCCTGGAAGAAGTTTTGCCAGTTTATGATCGTAGAGATGTGAACATAGCCGGTGTCTTCTCGCGCCGTGGAAGTTTTACAGGCTAGTTTTTCAACGAGTCGTGTAATTCGTAGCGGAACTTAACGCCCGGACGTCGTCTCGTCTTCACGGGAAATCCAACCGTGGAGGAACGACGACTGCACGGGAGTCGTTCATTCACGCTCGTTTACATTAATTGTTTCGTTAATTCAGACATCGCCGCCTTAAGGAGTCCACTACGCCACGGTGGAAACGGTATAACGGTCCCTATTTCAGGCGGGTAAGTGCTCGTAAACCGGGGCAAGATCTTTTTGAACAGAGACCGGCTAATGAAACGTTGGAGGAAGACGCGTGCAATTTTGAACGCGCGAAAGCTTCGCGCGAGGAAAGTGGAACGCGATTAGCCTCGTTGCCAAGAATAATTTTCTCGTTCTTTCATAATTTCTGATTTAATCAGTCTAACAATTCCCAATTTTACTATATCAATAATTCCCGATTTAATAATTTTAATAATTTCGATAATTTCTGGATTTATCATTTTAATAATTTCGATCATTTCTAGATTTATCATTTTAATAATTTCGATCATTTCTAGATTTATCATTTTAATAATTTCGATCATTTCTAGATCTATAATTTTAATAATTTTGATCATTTCTAGATTTATCATTTCAATAATTTCGATCATTTCCAGATTTATCATTTTAATAATTTCTTAATTTTCTTCAAATTTCTCAATGTCCAAGTTGCGCGAATTTTATCATAATTCTTCATTGGAAATTTGTCGTTACAAACTTTTATTTTTAAATTGTTAGTTCGTATTTATCGATTTCTGCTAAACACTTTTGCTCTTTAAATTTTGTTCCGTATCGTTGTATTTCCTACCGATGTTTTCTATTTTGAAATTATCTCGGAAATCAAATTAGGAGATAATTTATTATCAATAATGAATTCTCGCCTCGTTAATCTTCAACAAGTGTTAATATAATATTCCCGTTAACGACCGCAGACTGTGTGAATTCTGTTGGCGGAAACTGTGTCGTGTACTCGCGACGAGGTCATGTGAACATGTTTCTTTAACTGTAACAGGCACACGTTGCACGTTATTGCATATAATTAATGTAGCAGTGGTGCACGCTACGCTTCTATACGTTGGTCAATACTCTAATTCGTAACTATCAATATCATTCCACCTGAAATGCAAAATCCTCGTACTAACATGCGTTTCAATTACGTGGTCTGGCGGCTGTTCCTCTGAAATATTCTCTCAGCCACATGTTATTGCTACCAGTCAACGGCTATAATTGTCGCACCACTATCAATGCACGTATATTGAGAAAGAAAGAGACAGCAACATTAGGGAAAGGTACAAAATGCATTAAAATACGTTCGAAGAATTTTCATTATAGAAACGAAACAATTGAAAATTCGAGAAAAAAAAACGTTCCAAATTTTAATGCAAAAAAATTCCTCGAAGTATACAGGGTGTCTGGTAAATTGTAGTACAACAGACGGCAAGGTGATAAATATGTAAAAATGTAGAATAAAGTTTTTTCGATTGATTGCCCAGTTTTTGGGGAAAATAATTTTGAACTTGAAATTGTCACGATACAGGTTTAAGTTAAACGAGTAATCTTGATCGTTTATTTTGTAAAATAACGTTACTTTCAGTACGAAAGATCATCGCAACCTACTTGCAACCCAATATCTAAACTTAAACATTAACTGGAGCACTTTTCATTCTAATCTATCGCCTTAGAAACTTCGTTCACTAGTATCTTTTGTACTGAATTTTTTCTCCAAAACTATTTGTCGCTTCAAATAAATTCTCTCGGTATAAAGTACCAATGCTACCCAGGGAAACCTATTCTCCAGTACCATTTTAGCCTTCTGCGCTACAATACTAGTAAAACTAAACTACTAGTCTGGATCACCCACATAATGTGTCTTACACATTGTAACGATACTTAGAAAGAAAATGGAATCTATATATTTTACTAATTTGTTTTTATAAAAAATCACCACTTTATAAGTTGTTTTATGATTTATCTGACACTCTGTACGTGAATGCAATTTGCACACTGTACACTAGTCTATGGTGCCAGATCCCATGGTAAAGAAGACCCAAAGCTACGATCAGTGATTGCCACAGAGGTGAATGAATGCACAGAAAAGACAGAGGGAGAGACATAGACAGAGACAGAGAGAGACAGAGAGAAAGAGAGAGAGATTGTCATGCTTCGATTAAACCTGACGACAATATTCATCGTGTGACAGTTGAGTCTTGAACAATCTCGATTCAGAAGAAAATTTTGGGGGGACAATGTACGATGGTCCGCTGGAGCGATTTACCTCTTTTACCTGGGCTGACTTTGAACGGGGATCGGCGACCTGGACGGTCTCGTCGGGAGGCAGCCGCCAGGAGTTCCTCTCGATGTTGACGCTGGCGTTCATAGCGGCCTCCTCCTCCGCCTCCCGTGTCCTTCGTTGTTCTTAACAGCTTCGTCCTCGCGCGTGCACCACCCCGAGGTCCCCAGGGTAACCCCCGGGCCACTCCTGGGGCCGAGGTCCTGCTCCAGCAATCCACAGTTCCTCACCTGTAACAAAAGTTTTTCATTTCAGCCACTTCAAGAACGTCGTTCGTTTCGTAAATTTATTTTAACCTATTTACATCACGACGTGGAATATTCACCGAATACTACCTGCCCTGTATCACGAACCACGGAATAATCCGAGGGCAGCGACACAGTTGCTCAATGTGATATTTCTTGTCTACCACTGTGTATAGATCACTTTGAACAATACCATACTGTGAAATAAACATGTTTACACTGAGAATTTTATACTTAATATAAATTATCCATTGCACTCTGATGCTTCATTGTAAATTAAGTACATAGTAAGTACAGTTTTACTGTTGCCTGCAATTTAAGTGGTGATGCAAATAGGTTAAATAACATCCCTCGTTCCAGTAAATCATTTTAACTTTACAACTCTTAAGGGGGGGATTCTTCGAACCCACAAGTCGAAGAATTAAAACATACAACCCTTTCCCTCGTTTGATAACTTCTCAGAAAATTATTTATTGTCGTATACACATTTAAGTTTGATATTCGGAAGTAATCGTTGTTAGATGCAAAAAATTATGTGCATAAGAAAAAGAAGACGATCCTTACGCTCTTCTGACCTCCAAAGGAAACCAAGCTATCACTAAACGGAAAATTAAAGTAACTAATCGGGAAAGGAACGATGTAGCATCTAATCAGTTACCATCAAATATTTGATAAACACGGTACTTTGCTATTCTTATTTGACATCAGAAGAATCACGTTCAGACTATATAGAGGGGTTATTTATAGGGATGGAGAAATATGTTGAGAATGTATAATGACGTTTTGTTTGCGCGGAGCCTTCGTTCCCGTGTGAGTTGAGGTTGCAAATTGATCGAGGTGTGGGACACGGTTGCAGTAGCAGGAAAAGAACTTTTAAATCGTTGAACGGTGATTTTTAAGTAGCAAGATACTTTTATTTCACTGTTCATCTTTGAAACTTGAATACGCACATTGTTGCAGTCTCTATTCTCGAATGATGGGAGCTCGATGGAAGCACTATTTCGAATGCAAAACATTGTTGTACGCGTTACTTTTGAATGCAACATTGCTTGAAGCGTTATATTTGAACGCAAACATTGTTGGAATCTCTATTTCCGATTGCAACATTATTAGAAGCGTTATTTCGAAAGCAAATATTATTACAAGCACTACGCTTGAATGCAACATTGCCACAAGCGTCATTCTCGCTTCTAACATCGTTGACTCGTACTATCTTCGAATGCACATTGTTGCAAACGCGCCACAGATTTGCAACTTCGTAGTCGAGAGTCTCTCCCGAAAATTGCACATTGTTGCAAACGCGTTACAGGTTTGCAACTTTGTTGCCGAGAGTCGCTCCCGAAAACTGCACATTGTTGCAAAACGGGGCGTCGTGCAACAATGTGCGATTTTCGTCGGCAACAAAGTTGCAAACGGGATTACTTCTTTTGCAAAATTGTTGTCGAGAGTTGCTCCTGAATACTGCACATTGTTGCAAAACGGGGCGTCGTGCAACAATGTGCGATTTTCGTCGGCAACAAAGTTGCAAACGGGATTACTTCTTTTGCAAAATTGTTGTCGAGAGTTGCTCCTGAATACTGCACATTGTTGCAAAACGGGGCGTCGTGCAACAATGTGCGATTTTCGTCGGCAACAAAGTTGCAAACGGGATTACTTCTTTTGCAAAATTGTTGTCGAGAGTTGCTCCTGAATACTGCACATTGTTGCAAAACGGGGCGTCGTGCAACAATGTGCGATTTTCGTCGGCAACAAAGTTGCAAACGGGATTACTTCTTTTGCAAAATTGTTGTCGAGAGTTGCTCCTGAATACTGCACATTGTTGCAAAACGGGGCGTCGTGCAACAATGTGCGATTTTCGTCGGCAACAAAGTTGCAAACGGGATTACTTCTTTTGCAAAATTGTTGTCGAGAGTTGCTCCTGAATACTGCACATTGTTGCAAAACGGGGCGTCGTGCAACAATGTGCGATTTTCGTCGGCAACAAAGTTGCAAACGGGATTACTTCTTTTGCAAAATTGTTGTCGAGAGTTGCTCCTGAATACTGCACATTGTTGCAAAACGGGGCGTCGTGCAACAATGTGCGATTTTCGTCGGCAACAAAGTTGCAAACGGGATTACTTCTTTTGCAAAATTGTTGTCGAGAGTTGCTCCTGAATACTGCACATTGTTGCAAAACGGGGCGTCGTGCAACAATGTGCGATTTTCGTCGGCAACAAAGTTGCAAACGGGATTACTTCTTTTGCAAAATTGTTGTCGAGAGTTGCTCCTGAATACTGCACATTGTTGCAAAACGGGGCGTCGTGCAACAATGTGCGATTTTCGTCGGCAACAAAGTTGCAAACGGGATTACTTCTTTTGCAAAATTGTTGTCGAGAGTTGCTCCTGAATACTGCACATTGTTGCAAAACGGGGCGTCGTGCAACAATGTGCGATTTTCGTCGGCAACAAAGTTGCAAACGGGATTACTTCTTTTGCAAAATTGTTGTCGAGAGTTGCTCCTGAATACTGCACATTGTTGCAAAACGGGGCGTCGTGCAACAATGTGCGATTTTCGTCGGCAACAAAGTTGCAAACCCAGCACGCGTTTGCAACAATGTGCAATTTTCGGGAGCGATTTTCGGCAACAAAGTTGCAAACCTGTAACGTGTTTGCAACAATGTGCAGTATTCAGGAGCAACTCTCGACAACAATTTTGCAAAAGAAGTAATCGCGTTTGCAACTTTGTTGCCAAGAGTCGCTCCCGAAAGTTTCACATTGTTGCAAAACGGGGCGCCGTGCAACAATGTGCAAATTTTCGAAACAACAAAGTTGCAAACCCAGCACGCGTTTGCAACAATGTGCGATTTTCGGGAGCGATTTGCAGCAACAAAGTTGCAAACCTGTCGCGCGTTTGCAACAATGTGCAATTTTCGGGAGCGACTACCGGCAACAAAGTTGCAACCTCGACAACACGACGGTGTTGTCGAAAAATGAACATTGTTGGACAACGCGCCGTTTTGCAGCATTGTGGCTCGCTCGGGCTCTCGAGAAACGTACATAGTTGCAAATCCGTTTTCTTGCCTGTGCAACTTTGTGAAACGCATGTATTTTCGCTTGTAACGCTGTACGACATGCAAAACATTGTTGTATGCAAGACATTGCCACAAGCACTTACTTGAACACTTGTGTTCAAATGAAAATGTGCTAAGCCACATTTTCAACTTATTCATCGATGGATAATGTAGCTTGTACGAAAGCATCTCCATGAAAAATATATGCATTAATCGTATTCCTTATTAAAATATGTTTTGTACTACATAGTTTCATGTTAGTACATTGTTATGCAATACTATTTTGTTCTATAGATACATATACAAAATTAATTCAATGCAAAAACATGCAGTATGACTGTTTCGAGTGTCTACACATAGTGTCAGCATTGAGTACGTATTGTTGTGATCTAGTAGCAGTAGTTGTTAGGCTTTTAGGTTTATGACACAGACGCCCGCCTGTACTATTTTTGAGTGCGTCTTCTTAGTCCTTTTTTAATTTCAAATAGTTTATTGCACTCCAGTTGAAACTGTAATGGAATTACGCCAGCGTGTAAGTAGGGCATGTGCAAAAATAGCACCTGAAATGTTAAGGAAGGTGGAAAAGCAATTCCAAAACAGGATACGGAAATGCATTCTTAACGTTGGAGGACACGTTGAACGATAGCCACCTTAGATTACACTATTTTTAAGCACACACAATATCGGTTCTTTTTAGAGCTACCATGATGTACAAAGTCCGGCTTTAATTACGTTACGTCTTGATTACGTCTTGAGATTACGTTATCACATTGAGTTAAATTTGGGCTAGATATATTTCTACGCTAGTCCAGGATTTACACATTTTGATTCATTCTTTCTGAATGGGACATTTGTGCTAGCAATAATCACCCATGCTGGACTCCTCTACTCATACCCTTTCCAACGATGTATCATACGACCCAATAGGCGTGGGCCAGAATACTACAGTGCAGCCAGATTTGGTTAACTCTTTACTAAGAAGGACGAAATACAATTAAAAGAATTTAATTATATTCCCCTTATTGTATTCAAAATTACGAACAATTGTTAGGTATCAGGAATTATTTTAAACAAGGCAATGAACAATCAATCTCTGGAAAATTCTCCCCCAGGACTTCTATACGTATATTCTCAATTAAAACCCGCGCATTAGCGCACACGAAACGCTACACGATATCGTGGCAGTAACTAATTAAGAAGATAACGAAAACTCCTACATATATTCTCCTGTACAAGAGAAAATCCAATACAGATCCGATATCTCCCACTCCCACTTATTTTCATTCTGCAAGCTCTTGCAACCTTTACCAATACTCGATAGTACTCGGTTTTCAAAAACAAAACTCAACGTCATCGTCATTTCCTGCTACACACCATTTCTGTTAGGACAGCAAGGGGACGATTTTATGATACGTGATTTCTAGTTCAGCAAACCGTTATTTTAATTTAGCAGACCGGTCTGCAGCCAACGTGCGGCACGTAGAATTTCTCAAATATTAAAGAATAGGCTATTGTTCAGTCACTAAGGTAAGGTATCATAAAGTCACCCCCAAAGGGTCTTCGAAACCGATGCAATTAACGAGGCCTCTCGGTACCTGACCTTCCGAACGAGTCGGAAAGTCAGAGTTGACCTGGCCGGGTTTTCCCCCCTTGTTGTCAAATTTCCGTCCAGCAAGGACCAGCTTCGTCACCCCCGCTCCAAGGACGTGACGCGCTCCGGGCGCAATGGAAGGGGGTGATACGGGGTTGGTCACTTAGTAATTTTAAGAACCTCCCTTCGCGTCCCTTCTTC